AAAAACGAATGGCTACAGCTAAATGAAACGAAAAAAAAAAGCAGATATTAAAAACATTGGGTCTGCAAGACTCCCAATTTAGAAACAAGCAGCCGCCGCAGCAGGCCGCCCGTGCTGGCGTGTCCTACCAGGCCCCTACCCCTCTGCTCCGACTTAGGCCCGCTAAACCACACCGAAAGCGGCGGCATGGGAAGGGGCATGAGCAGCTACAGGCCACGAACGCTCCTCTCATGCCGCTGATTTCCGATCCTGAGCCTCTTGACATGGCAAGATGCAGATGGATGGGATGAGCCCTACACTTCCTGCGCTCCAGCTATGCTCGGGGTACAAAAATGAGAAAACCAGCACAAAGTTAAGTATTTGGCTAAGGCCCATTTCCCACCTGGAGGCAGCAAGACGCCTCAGAGAGCGCCCGGATCCCCTCATGACACAAACAGCTTCGTGCCTTCCCCTCCACCGCCCCCTCAGTCAAGTCCCCCTACCCTGCCAAAACCAGTCACTACCTCCCAAAGGAAAACGGGATCACAGGAAAACTTGTCAACTGAGCGAGTTAAGCTACAGGGCTGATCTGAATAAGGCATAATACTACTTGAAATGTAAACGCAGAACAAACTAATCAAGCATCCTAATTCAGCTGTTGCTATTAGCATTACAGAAAGCCCTAAGCCCGAGAACACATTAAAGAGCCATCACATACACACACACACGCCTTGCATGTGCCAAAGTTTATTTTTTTCCAAAACTTGTTTCATCAAATAATTGGATATGAGCAGTTTTTAAAAAACAAACAGCTTGTGTATTAACAAATTGTGAAGTTCCACAATTAAAATATCAACACAGCCAGTCTTGTGCTTCGGCTTCTTTTTAAAAAAATTATTAATTCATAGAACATAAACCCTCAAAATTTTTTTCCAGTTTGTGGCTAGTATATTTTCCACACATTCTGTATTCTTATAAAATGAAGGAACTCACGTAAAGGAACAGCTGTACAAGAATACATCTGGGGAAAAAAAGCCTGAACAACCTAAATTATAGTAGCTCCTTTTAAATAAATATCCAATAAAAGGCACAAACCTGTTATGGGGAAAAACATAACATACAAAACAAGACCTATTAAATAAATAAAGTGTGGACTAGAGTGAGGGAAATCTGTTCCAGCACCTATTTTGTCATTGCTCCAAGATGAAATTCCAGCCAAACATTTGGTAAAGGATTAAACTTAATCACAAGGATACACGTTTGAGATCTACTGAAAGGTCGGATGTTACAATGCCTGTTGTAACTGTACCAGTTACTACAATCTCCTTAAATAAATGCTTATGAGAATCTGCGTAAAGCAGCGATGCAGTGATGCATATATCAATGACAAGTCAAATACATCTTCAGAGTAATAGCAACAGGTTTTCTATATTCCTAGCTATCAGCAATATATAAACGATAACATGTACAGTTTCCATTGCTCAAAAATATAATCTTTTAAATGGAAATAAATGACTGATACACAGTGCCTTTAAATGTTGTCCTTACAATACAAACTACCCAAAACAAAGTTTTCCTTTTTATGTACAAATTAAGCACCGATCCACAGTGCGTGCTATTCTAATCGTAACCCCACCCTCCCTGCCACACATCGAAAAACCCAGATGGGGATACACCCTGTATTCAGCCTTATAGTCAGAAGGTTTTTTTGTTGGTTTTTGTGTGTGGTTTTTTTAAACAAAAGTCTGTTTGTTATTTTTACCTACAAGTATTCCACCACTATGCGCACAGAACTGAGATTTCTCTAGTACATATGTTCAAAATAAAAAAAAAAAAAATTCAATAACTTCTTGGAGGCAAAGCCAAACTATATCTAGAGAACATTAGAAGCCCCTGTTATTTAAAAAGAGGGACACTTTCAAGTCCAACAGGCCTAACACAACCTTTCCAAATTCCCCCAGGAGTTATCTTACGGTGTCTCACATGAAGGACAGCCTCCCTGTAGCAGCATGAAGTCCCAACAGTTAGGCTTGAATGACCCACCAAAGTACAATAACGGCGCACAGCACACTTCAAGTCTCCTCCTTGTTCAGGCAAACAGGGAGTGACATCTTAGTTACCTGCTTTCTGAAGCATTCAGAACAGGATTCCGATCAACGAGTTGGAAGGAGACAAAAGGGAAAAATCACATTGATATACACCTCTCCTCAGGGTTTTACTCATCACAGCCACTATTTGCAATTGCAGGCTATTACAGTTACCCTCAAGAACAACCTTTTTCTTCAAAGTGGTTTTTCTGGAGAAGTTCTGAGCCATAAAAACCTTGACAGCATCCTAAGTCCTCGTTTTTTTACTTCTAATGTATGACCTTTGTTATTGAAAACACAGTACTCTGCCATTTTATGCGTTCCAATATGCGCACAAGGAAGAGGTTGGCAAAAAGCACTCCTGTGCACTTTTGCGCAGAGAGGTGTGTAAAGCAATCTTTTCCTCACAAGGATAAATCTGAAAGCTGTGTTTTAATGTATCAAAGATTCTGAACGAGACTAAAAAGTTTTTAGGATGTACTTTGTGGCTGTTTCTCCTTCTTTTAATACTACATAAATTGGTATCAGACAGCTTTGCTACAAGAAAGCATGCCAAGGAACCATTAAAATATCCAGAGCAAAATCAGAAGTACTGCAGACTATACCTGTACTAAATCCATTTCTGAGCAAAGTACATTCCAGATTTTCAGAATGCTCTGCAATAAAGTTATAACAAATATATACTGTTTGCCAGGCATTTATTTGCATATTTTATTAAAATAACGGATTATTACTTATACAAGTCGGTATGAGAAAGAGACCTAACGGCTTACAGTGCTAGAAACTGCCTGATTGTAACACTCTCAGCTCTGTCATTAATGCCCAGACATTTATTACGACATGTACGGGTCTAATTTGAACTCAAGACTTTTCAATGCTGAATAAATCAATGGAATTCACTATTTCTTAAATAAACAGTCCCCTCACCACAATGACCCATTCTAAATGACATCTATTCCCTTGTCACGTGGAGGGTAACTATAGGCACTGAACAACTCATTGGCTTAAAATCATACAATTGTTCAACCCAATCAAGGTGGATTAAAGCTTGAAGCCCTTTGTAATTCAAATTTGAACATCAAATTGCTGTGTACCAGTCCAAATGCTTTTCAAATCGATACACATTCAGAAACTTGTGAGTTTTAAATTTCTGCAAAGTTACATTTCCCAGGAAATTAATGGTTACAGATTCCAGGGGTTGGGGGGTAGTTAGTTTTTTATTTTCTTTCTTTTGAGCCGTTTCACTTGGCAAAAATATTTCCATAGGGTTAAGAAATACTACTTTTTCACTCTTTGGACAGAATGAAGCATTTAGAAAGAGGGAAGGCTTGTTCCCACTATGAGGAAAGTGCTGTATTTTAGAAGTTCTGTACAGGACAGTTTGACAAGATTCTCAAGCCTATTTGCATTTATAGTGAGAGTCAGAGATATTTCTGCAATTACAGACTCCCCAGAAGCTAAAAGACATGCTACTCTGGAGGTCTATTTATTGTAACAATAGAAAACTATTCATTTCTGGAAAAAAACAGCTTTAATAATAATCATTAGAAGTCATTTTACAGGAGAGATTTTCACTGTATTCTGCCACAAAACTTCTGGAAGAAAGGTTGCTCCCAATTCCATTTACTCATTATTAACTACTTTTTTTTTTTAATGCTATCACTTTTTATCAGACATTGAAAAATACAAGGTAAGGCATATTCATAGCCGATTTCAGTTTTGGAGGAAGATTATTAAATACAAAAGACGTGCCAGAAGTCTGTGCACATCTGACACATCATGAATAGCATACTTCATAAATTAGTTGATTTAAAAGATTTTCCTCTCAAAAAGAGCCTTGATTTCTTAACATAGCATTTTTATACCTTGAAATTACTACAGAAGAAAAAAATTACTGCAGCATTAAAGAAAAGATTATCTAAAAGTTTGCACATATTTACACATTTAAAAATAATTACTTTTATATG